AATAAGTTTTCCTACCAATATGACTATGTTGCGAAAACAAGGTTAAACAATCTCTATACAATAAAAGGAGACTGCGACCACACAAAAGGCCACACCATCTTGGTCTTCATACACTCTAATAAAGCTACCCCATTAGGATAATTGGTCTGGTAGAAGCTGATATGCACTCGAGCAAGACTAATGCCTTGGGAACTTATCACTTCCACTTTCCACTTGGTAGCCTGTATGCCAAAGTCACAGTTGTCTGAATTATTTTTCGCAACCTTGCCGTGCTGTCATGGTGACCTGTTTGGACACTCCTTTTCAGAAATCCCTTTTAATCGTCGTTATGCTAATCCCCAGTGTTTGACCGTGGTCTTGGTACATGTCCAGACGTTGCGCCGGCAACGTACTCGGCCTCGTCAGTGAGTCTTACCATTCTTAGCTTATTTGCTCCGAGTTTGCTTAACTAATATGGAAAGTAAATCTATCGTTTCCTTGTGTTTTTGCCGTACCATGTGGTAGGTAGATATAGCAGGACATAAGGGGGATGGACAACACAACAGTTTGGCAGAAAGTTACGCAAAAGATTTTTTTCTCTTCTCTTTTTGACAAGTTGTAGCTTGGGGCTAAGACTGTCAAGAGTCACCAAAAATGCCGGCGAAATGTCTGTGAATGTACCAAGTCGATGGTTTGCTGCTGTGAATTATGATAACTACTATGGCAGAGGACTTCGGACAATGTGCGTTCAACTTAGTCTCTCTGACAAAAAGATTAAAGTGCGAAAACAAGGTCAACCTATTTTTGTACAAGGTCTCATTAGGTTATGAAGAACTTCTAACTGAATTTTCCCATAACGAAATAATTCAACTTCACGTTTCCACTGAATTTCACTTTGCCTAATTTCTCAAAAGGTATTCTCATCCAGGCTGAACTGTACTGCGGTTTCGAACTCGCCAATGTCCTACTATCACCTCCAGCGGAAATCGAATCCGGCTGGTGCAGAATACAATCTTGACAAGGCTTCGAGTGTAAGTCAATCACATGGCAGACGAGAATTTCAAGGAAGGCCAGACCTCGAACATATACGATTTTTTTCAATTTGGGAATGCCGACTATAGATTTGAAGCCTACTATATACGAAAATAAGTAGCACAGTCGATGGTAATGGCAAAACAAAAGTTTGCCCCGTCAACCATCCCACTATTGCATCTACCTTGAGACCCAGGGTTACTCGTGGCTGTGTGGCCTACGGGTTCTGATACGACCCCTTGTGAAGCTGAAACTGCAGATCGGATTGGAGGCTAGAGCTTTTTTGGTAGCAAGGCTATGTGGAATTGAGTGAAAATATAATGTCATATATATGAGATGCATTCAACCTATTTCGTTTAAAGTGATAAGGAGATTGTCAATTGAATTTTCCAACATTCGAATGAATAGAAATTACGTCTTTATTGAATTTCACATAACCTTCTTTCACAGGAAATGTGTTCTCCTCGTCTAGGCCAGTGCAGAGCATATCCTCGACACATTAACCACTACTTCAGACTGCCATGAGTTCGCTTGGATGACAGGGCATATGTACATTTCAAAGAAGGCTAGTTATTTCCCCATATCACATTTTGTGGTGGCATTGTCGATGAAGCAAAATTGTATTGGTTATAGCAATCGAATACGTCTCGAAAACCTGCTCACAAAAATGAAGCATCAGATCTACTCTTATGGTTGTGATAAAAATTCAACAATCAGTCATTCATCAGCTTATACTACCTAGAGTGACTGGAACCCATATTCAAGATTTACTAATCGTTTCGATGCCTACTCTGTACAAAGCTGTACAGTAACTGCTTGGAGAGGGGGACAACTGAAACCTGAGATCTGAGGTACCAGTTTGGAAGAAGAAAGACAACTCGATTTGATGTTTAAATCTAGCATCCTCCAGGAACAAAGCGCCAGCTTTCGTCGAACCAGCACTGAAAGTTGTATTCAATCCAGGCCTTATAGACACCTCCGGCAGGACTCGAGCCCACGGATCGAAAACTCGAACACAGACATACCATTGTCTCCAGCTTCGTTCCTCAATCAAAAGCCTAGCCAGTACTGCTACCTTTAAACATCGGGATGAAACTATCCCACTGCTGAAGTCTGGTGGAATTCAGGCTAAAAGACTGCTCTTCTGAATATTTTATCCTACATATGTGTTAGTATGTCCCGATTGAAAACATTTAACGGATGACAAACTAGGCAGGAATAATAAAAATAATGATAATTACAAAGGTGGGTTACTGAGACTGGAGGCGATTCATTGTGGAATTGATCGACAATGATGATAGCGTGGATGATGCTCACATAGAGAATGTTAATGATGACTGAATACGATGGGGTTGATGAATGGAATGGATAATGAACAAGAATATGATGTAGGTGATGATAATGAAGATGGTAATGAGGATGACGACGACCATGACGGTGGCGGCCATGGCCTTGGCTAAACGGTGATTAATTAAAATGCGTAATAATGTACACTTATATTGAACATGTTTTTTTTTTACTAAAAGCATATATCCATTGAAAGTAGGCTTCCGAAAATATCAGAGATAAAAGTCTGATAGCTAAATTTGTCCACAAGCATTTGAGTAGGCCTCACGTCTCTGGGATTTTCCTTAGATTTGCTTCCCTAAATGTCTTCCAATCTAGGCAGACTGGACGGCGGTTTCGACCTCGCCTCGGTTTCATCATCAGCACTCGACAGTACTGGAACGAGGGCAGCATAGCGGGTCACGGTACTCCTCTCATATCGCATGTTTAGCATGAAAGCATAGATAAAGCAAACTTATATCTTGTAATTAGAATCTTCTGCGCTACTTATATTAATAGAAAGTAGGTTGGCGAAACCATCAGCAAGTATTGACGACTTTTGGAGAGGATTTTTCGATTATTTTATTTTTATTAATTTTTCGCCTCTCAGAGCACGATGCCTGCTCAGTCAGCCTCGAATACAGTTGAGCCTCAGTTCATCTCAATGGACGGCAATTCCTGCAGCCCTTCTGAAATTCAGCTCACTGTGCCCACGTCCCTGGCTCCATTGCTTTCCGGTTGTCATGGCGTCGGAGGGCCGGGTCCCACTTCTCGTAGTTTTTCCGACCTGATTGCGGCTTGTGCAGTGCTCTCAGCTCTCGTTCCTACCACAAGTCATGCAACCCTACCTCTTCTTTTGCCGCTGTCATTGCCGATTCCGATGCCTATAGCTCCGCCTCCTCAGCCTCCACTTGTTGTACCTACTATTCACCTCCCTTTTCCTGCATCAGGCTTCATCGCTTCTCTCAATTCTCCCGCCTCTGTCGCCGAGGCAACATCCACAGCACCGTTACCTCTTTTCATGCCACCGCATTCGATACCTCCAACTCAGCTCCTCCAGACTGGCCTGCCATCCGAACAAACGGCGTCTGCTTACTTGTCAGGCTGCCTGGCTAATCTGACGGCCTTCGCCAATCCGGAAATGCCAGCTTCGTCACGGGCCTTGTTCCATCCGCCAGAAGATGACCTGTCCGGACACCAGCTCCTTCCCCTCAGCGAGCCCACTTTAGGCAGCTCGACTCATTCTTCTTCTTCTTCTTCTTCTTCCTCATCCTCCTCCACCGCCTACTCAGAACAGCTCAACCCATCGCCCAGCCTCGAAGCTGGGATGGCCTTTTTTTACCCACCCCCTCCCTTCATCTCCTCCTCCTCCTCCTCCTCGTCTTCATCCTCATCCTCATCCTCATCATCATCATCTTCTTCTTCTTCGTCGTCGTCGTTGCCATGTTTCTTTGGTTTCGACTCATTCGGCCTGGTTGTCTCAACATCGCAGTCCGGCTCCACACCCGACTCTACCTATCAGGCGGAAGACGACACCTCCAAACGCCATGAGGCTGGTCAGTCCGGCTCAGTTGGGCCTTCCAAAACGGTACAAGGCAACGAACGCTCGACAGAGGTGACGGTGGCGAATGGAGTGACCAATTTTTTCACGATTGACCGTCTTCTTGCTCTGTCCGTCGGGGAGGATGCCAAAACTGCCCCACCCAGTGTATGACTAGACCTGCCATGACATGTATCAAGAACTGATTGTTCAACAAACCCTTCATCTGATGCACATTGGCCATCCCCCCCTTGGGCACTATTGTAAGCTCTCAATGCTTCGACACCATAACGACACTCCTACCGAGGGTAGGCTGAGATGTGTATGTGTGGACATGTGGACTAATGGGATTCACTATATGGCCAGCTTTCCGGATGAGTCCTACTCTCTTACATGGACTTTGTACTGCAGACACACTCTTGCCGATAAATATATCTGATTTTGCATCCTTCTCCTCCCAGTCTGGAGCCACACTTGTTTGTTCCTTCTGTGGGATCGTGGAAGAGATGCAATTTTCCCCATGGTTAACGCAATGCCCACGCCGGCTTTGTAGCAGGGGAC